GGCGGGGCCGGACGGGGGCATCGAGCCCGGGGCAGCACCCGCCAGGTGCTCGGCGGGGTACACGGGTGGCTTGGAGTTGTTGGTTGGCAGCGAGCGCGCCTCTCGGTCCGCAGGTCGTTGCCCGCCGTGCGCCCTAGAGGTAGAGGGGCCGGTGTCCCCGACGGGCTTGTGCGGGGCCGCGGTCCACGGTGACTCCCGAGTCGCCGCCGCCGCCTTAGGCCGCTGTGTTCCTGCCAAAAGGCTGGAGCCTCCCTGGCCCCTGCCCACTACCCCCCTTCTCTCCTGGAAAAGTTAATTTAACAACAACAAAAAAACACGTACAAAATCCAGATGTTCCTTGCACTGAGCCCCAAAGGGGAGAAAAAAAAACCCTCCAAGCTGGAGAAATTTATTTTTCTTGCACTTTCTTCTGGCGCCCGCCCGAGCCCGGCCCCGACCTCGGCCCTCGGGAACACGTCTGGGAGACCTGGCCCGGGGGGTGAACGCCGCCGCTGTCCCGCGGGGTCGCCGCCCGCACTCGCTTGTCTCTGCGCTAGCAGTTTTGCCGCGTTGTTGGGCGCGTTTCTTCGCCTTTAGTTCCCTTCGTCCTCCCTTTCTACTCCTTTTCCCAGGTCTGGGATGCCTGAACCCAGCGATCTTGAGAGGGACACCCTCTGCACTTTGAGTTCGCCGAGGTCCTGGGTGGCACCATGAGAGGCAGCGTCCCAGCTTTCCCCGCTCTCCCTACTTCTCACCCCCGCATTGACCCCCTGGGAGCCCTGGTTGGCCCCTCGGGTCGCAGTCCTGGTCTTGGGTGCCCTGGACTGCTCTTGGGCCGCCGCCCTTCGCCGGTCACCTGTTCCCTCGCCCCTGGCTGCGGTGTCCGCTCGGAGCGGTGTGGCCGGCAGAGGGCCCCGTTGGTCCAGGAATCTGGCACCCGCCAGGGCAGGGAGAGGCGGCTGGGCCGAGGAGCCCTGCAGGTGTATCCTGTTCTCAAAGAAAATAAAATATTTTCATGGGAAAATTTTCCCTTTGTGTTTTTCTTTCTCCTCCTTTCTCCTCATCTGTCCATTTCTTCTGGGTTGTCTTCCAGGGTCAGTTCCATGTCTCGGTTCCCAGGGTCTCCCCCGCCCTGGCTCCCCTGGCTTCCACTGTGGGTCCAGCCCCTGGGCCTTGGCCTGGCACGCCCCTGCACGCCATCTGTGCAGCCCTAAGCCTCACCCGCGGGCAAGAGGGAGGGCTGAGGATGGCCGTCTGGCCACAGGTCCGCGGTGAGTCACAGCAGCCCATCAGCCAGCTGTGCCTTCCTCTCTTCTGGCTCAGTCGGGCTTCTGACACGCCCTGGGCTAGCATGGGCGGCCACTTTGCTCCTTCTGGGATCTCTGCTGCTGTCCTTGTGGCCCCAGGATTCAGAACTTACAGATGATGGGGTTAGGATACTAGCTGCACTGTCCTTCATCCGTCTCTCATTCTCACCCTCTCTTTGCTGTCTCTGTACCTTGCGTCTTGGGAAAGTCCTCTAGCTTGGCTACTGTAGGGGTGTTGACACCCTTTGATTCCAAGGCAGGGTTTAAGCACAGGACAGCGGGCTCCCAAGCAGGTACGGAAGACGTCAGGATTGCTATGACTTGGGTCAACTTCTTCTAGCTCTCTGCCCTTAAGAGCCCTTCGAGGAAAGCTGAGCTTGCCTGTGAGTGCTCCCTTCCTGCAGCTGCCCTGGAGACCCACTTTCTTGGTGTGGAGGAAGAACTCTAATAGCCCAAAGATAGGCAGAGTGGATACCTGTTGAACCCAGAGCCAGGGAGAAACTGGGAGGACGGGCTAGCTGACTTGGGTCTCTCTCGAGTTGATTTCTGAGGAGTAGGCATGTTGTTGCTGGATGTATGTGTATTGGGGGCACAAGATGTGTCCTAGGCTGTTCTGTGTCCAGAGGTCCCACCCCTGCCTCAACCAAGGGAGGAGATGAGTCTGGAAACCCTGAAAGGCCTAGCAGGCCTGGAGCTGGAGGGGGAGCCTGAGGGTGCGCCCGTGAGAATGTGGTGTGCTTCCCAACTGGAGAGGGAGTGGAGAGTCGGGAGAAGGAGTTGGAATCTGGGGCTCTCCTCTCCCTTCCCCCTCTCCAAAGCTCTGCCTGGCACGGAGGCTCCCAGGCAGGAACACGGCTCCAGTTACAGCCCAGGAACCCAGAGCGGAGAGGCTGGCCCGGGGGAGGGTCACGTGGCTACAGGAGCCCTCCCCACCCCCTCCCTGAGCTGCAACCCAACCCTACAGCTCTGGCTGCCCTTCCCTTCTAGAGGCCTCTGGCCACCCTGCTGCTGGACCCCTCCAGGCTGGCCACCAGCCATGGGCAAGGGGCTCCCTTCTCTTCTTCCCTTGGCTCGGCTTCGGCTTCGCATCCCAGTCCTGGTCAGCAGATCAGCAGGTGGCAATTCCATTAGTTTCTTCTGGAGCTGCTGCCTGCTGCTCCCGAGGCCAGTCGGAGGTCACACGTGGGTTGGGGACACAGACACAGACCCTCTGGAGGGAGGCTTTGCTTCCCTCACCCACTCCCCCTCTCTGGGCATTGGCAGGTGAGAGGATTGGGTGTGAGCCGCGGAAGTCTGGCACAGACCTGTGACTCTGTTTCCCTGCTGGGTTGCAGGGGCATCTGGAAAGGAGGCCCCAGACTAAGTGGAGATGGGGATTAAGAACTGCAGCAGTGAGCTAGCTCTCCAGCAGAGGCCTGTGGGAGCTCGGAGACTTTCACCCTCTTGTCTTTTAAAGAACTAGGAAGGTGCATTATAAACCTTACGACCGGCTTTCAGTTCTCTATTCTGGCCATAGGCATCAGATGTCTCCCAGGGAATGCCTCTGTGTCCCCATCTGAAAGGCACCCTCACTTGAGACCACTGTGGACTGTTTGGGGCTGAGTGGTATCAGGACCTACCAAGGCCCTCTTTTTGTTATTGAATCTAACTCACATCCAGAGAAACTTCCCCCAGCTCCGCGGTTTGGGGTATATTCACAAAACTGTCAGCCATCACCACCGTCTAATTCCAGAACATTTTCCTCACCCCAGAAACCTCATAGCCACTCAGCAGTCGCCCCCCTCCCTCCAGCCCCTGGCAACCACTAATCTTTCTGTCTCTATGGATTTTCCTATTCTGGACTCCTTGTCCAAGTGGGACCATCCGCTCTGTGGCCTTTTGTGTCTGGCTTCTCTCATTCGGTGTGTCATGTGTTTGGAGTCTTCTCTGTGTTGTAGCATGAATCAGTGTTTCACTCCTTTTTATGACCGAATTGATTATACAACAGTTTTAACAAAAAAAACCCCGCTTGTCGGTTGATGGCTGGTTATTTCTAGCAATGCCGTTGTGAATGTCGGTCCCCGCCCCCATATCTGTGTTTTCGGTTCTTGGGGAGTGCCTATCGGGAAGTGGCCCTCAGGCAATTCTACTTTACACTTCTTGAGGAACTGCCAAAATGTTTTCCCAAGTAGTTACAATATTTTATATCCCTCCCATAAAAGTACAGGGGTCCAATTTCTCCATGTCATCACCAAACGCATTCTGTTTTTTTCATTGTTGTTTTTAATTCTAGCCATCCTAGTGGGTGTGAAGCATGTCTCCTCGTGGGTTTGGAGGCTGATGGCATTGGTCGCCTTTCGCAGGTTCTTGTTAGGTTGGTTGGGTTTTGTTGTGATTTTTTTTTTTCCTTTGAGACAGGGTCTCTTCGTTATGTAGCCCTGGCTGTCTTGGAACTCACTAATGTAAACCAGGCTGGCTTTCAACGCAGAGAGATCTGCCTGACCACATCTCTGGAGTGCTGAGATGAAAGGGATTACAGGCCATGGCTTTTGCAGGCTTCTTGACCATTTTGCACACTTCTTTGGAGAACCGTCTGTTCAGTTCTTTTGGCCTTTTACAAGTTGGGTTATTTGGTTTGTTGTTGTTGTATGAGAGCTCTTTACATATTCTGGATCTCTCCTAGAGAGAGAAGTTTTATTTCTTGACTGGAGAACATACCCAGAGGTGGTGGCAATCCTTAGCTGCCTTTCTTGTGCTGCCCCAGCCTGACTGTAAGAGTGGAGGGGACATCCTTTATTTATGAGAATTCTGGGTATTCAGGAAACTAGAGGAGGAACCCCTCAGGTCAAAAGGGAGGAGACTGTTCCATCCTTCATTCTTACTCTGGAGCCTGGATGGGAATACCCTGTGGCCAGTTGCCCAAGTCCGATGGCTGTTTGAACAAGGGGCACCCAGGTAGCTCCTAGAGTCAGAGAAGGCTGGGAAGGGTTACAGGCAGGATGCTGGGTCTGAGAGCACAGACTCTTCAAGCTATATGGAGCCTTCACTGTGTGTGTTGGGACGCAAAGAGAGACTACAAAGAAGTCAGGGGGCCGGGCCGTGGTGGCGCACACCTTTAATCCCAGCACTCGGGAGGCAGGGGCAGGCGTATCTCTGTGTGTTCGAGACCAGCCTGGGGTACCAAGTGAGTTCCAGGAAAGGCGCAAAGCTACACAGAGAAACCCTGTCTCGGAAAAAAAAAAAAAAAAAAAGTCAGGGATCTGAGTCCAGCCAGGAGCTGAGCTGGGGAATCCGTGGAGGCTTAGGGACAGATTGGAAGGTCAGGCCTAGGTCAGGAGTGGCGGTTGCAGTTGGGGTCAGGTGTATCCACAGAGCTGCTGGGCTCAGAACACCCCAGGATGTTCGCAGGCCTTTGGAAGGTCAGCAAAGTATGGCACCCAGGCAGTGGGGCTTTGCAGAGCCGCAATGGGAGCAGACAGGCTGGCCTTGGAGGCCTCCGCCCAGGGGCTCTGTGAGACCTTTTGGCAGAGGATTAGGAGAAACCAAGAGGTGGGTGAGGGGAGGAGAGCTCCCTGGGGCCTGCTGAGATGGAGGTGGAGCCAGCATTCCATTGCAGCGCCCCGAACAACCCCCACCCCACCCCCAAGTGACCAGCTGAAGTTGGAGTTGCCTGGCTTCCCAGCTAGGCTGTGTGGCAGGTGTGGCATTAGCCCAGGTAGGAGCTGCTTGCCTTCACTCTGCATTAGCAACCCCTGGCCCCTCAGACCCTCCACTCCAGCTGCCCTTCAGTCTCCATCTCCTGGAATTGGGGGGGGGCTTTTCCCTGGACCCCCACACGCACCCTGGTCAAGCCCAGACCCCCAGACTAGGGTGCACAGTGTCCCTCATGTGCCTTGAGGGAATGGGAAGTGGTGTTTAGCAGCAGTGTGGTGGGATTTAAGGTGAGGCCAGCCCGGGGCCACCTGGCCCCTCAGCTGTGTGAGCAGATGTCCTCCTCACAGCCGACAGCCGTCTGGATGGGGAGACAGCTGGCCTAATCTTGCTCCTGTCCTCACCATCCGCTCTGCCTCCTGCCCTTGTGGCTCAGGGTGCCTGTCCTGGGCAGGACCTGGTAAGTGCCAGGCAGCATCTAGGTGGCCTAAGGCCCCAGGCACCTTGTGCCTCTGCCTCTCTGCCAACTCCCAAGCTTGGCCATCGTCGGTAAGGTGTGCAGGTAATTTGTACCCTAGGAAGGAATGTACAAGGATAGATTCCTCCTAGGGAGGCCCTGAACCCTGGAGGGTGATGAGCTGATAAGGGGTAGGTGGAGGGGGGCAGCCAGGCCTGCCTGGCTCCTTGCTGGAAAGACGACACCTGTTGACAAGCTTCCTGCACTTGCCCTCCAGTCCAGCCTGCCGGGCACCCGCTGCCTGCCTTTGTGTATTGTGCCGTGTGGCGGGTGCCCTGCTGGTGCCCGGCTGGCTGCAGCAGGCTCTGGACAAGGCACAGTTGTCTGTGTAGTCTGGGAACCTTCTGGTACGAGCCTTAGGTGCCTGTGGATGGAGCCAGGCCCCCTGGCTGCATAACTGGGCTGTCTTGGGGGCATTCTTGCTGGGAAGTGGGGGTGAAATCAGCATCTGCCTGGCTGACTGCCTCCATAACAGCCCAGCTGTGCCCATCTTTCCCTAATTCAATTCTGAGGCATACAGGAGGGT